TTGGCAAAAAAAAAAATCAGAACATAAAATACAAGCTGGATGGACACGACCTTGTAGACAACCCTCACTCAGTCAAAGATCTTGGACTACTCATCTCTAATGATCTAAGTGCCAGAGTCCATTGTAACAACATTGCCAAAAAGGCATTAAGAGTTGTTAACCTAATCTTGATTAGTTGTTAACCTAATCTTCTCTGATAATATTGTACTGCTAACTAGAGCATACAAAACATTTGCTAGACCAATTCTCGAATACCGCTCATCTGTCTGGACCCATACGACATATCGGACATTAATACAATTGAACGTGTCCAGAAATATTTCACGAGAAGAATCCTCCACTCCTCTGCTCGCAATAGAATACCTTATGCCACCAGACTTGAAATTTTGGGCTTAGACAATTTAGAACTATGCCGCCTTCGGTCTGACCTAAGCGTAGTACATAAAATTATCCACTACAATGTCCTACCTGTCAATGATTACTTCAGCTTCAACCATAACAATACACAAGCACACAATAGATACAAATTTAAGGTAAACTGCACCAAACTTGATTGCAGGAAATACTACTTCAGGAACAGAGTGGTCAATGCCTGGAATACACTACCTGACCCTGTGGTTTCTTCCCCAAACCCCCAAAATTTTAACCTTACACTATCTACTGTTGGCCTCACCCCATTCCTAAGAGGTCTGTAAGGGGCGTGCATAAGTGCACCAATGTGCCTACCGTCCCTGTCCTAATGTCCCCTTTTATTCATAACCATCTCATATATTAATAACCATGTTTATACCTATATCTGTTATCTAATACGTGCTTGACAAAATAAATAAATAAAATAAAATAATTAAACAATCCGGGTCCTCATTTTACTGACCTTGAACGATGGAAGGCTGAGTCAACCTTGACCCGGTCAGGATCAAACTCCTGACAGTAGGCAGAAACAACATGCAATATTGCATTCTAACCATTGTGTGATGCATAGAAATGAAAGACTCTTGGGTAAACGGTGTTTTTTTTTTAAGGGGGATAAAAATAGAATTAAATTGGTGAGACTGTGAAACAGATAGTTAGATGACACAGATTAATGTTACATATCTCTGCTTTACATTTTCTCTCAGGCATCTTATTATATGACATGATGGAATATTAACAGAATTGGAAAGAATCAATGCCTCCCTCCCACATTGCTGTACATTTTGAAGACTTCATCTGGTCAATACATTTTATTAATTTTATTAATTTTATAAAACCTTCCCTAGATTACTTTTATACCTCATTATATGATGACATGCCTGCTAACTGTCTGGCAGCTCACTCTTTCCTATTGATGCAATCCATACATAATGTTTTATCTTTTACTTCAGTTAATAGAGAAAGTAATGAGGAGAATTCTATGTGGCCATTATAATAAGGGGTTGTGATATAATAGCAATTGCCCTTTTCTTTAAATGGATTAAGCCAGCGGCCTTCAAGTTAACCCACAATGAAGGGATGCCCTGATCGAGTTATTCCAGTAGCAAGATCACAATTTCTTTTTATGTCATTTGAACATGATACGTGATAGTAATAATAAAGAGCAAAAGGTTAAATAGTGTTTAGGAAAAAAAAAACAAAGAGAAACCAGACACATGTGAAAATTTGTGAAACATGGATTCAATGGTTGCAGGTTTGAAGGCAAAATTGTGCATTTCTAAATGAATTGTGTATAATCACACCTTGAAATATCTTCTGAATTTAGGGAGCTGGTTTCTGAATTGTGTTGTTCTGTTTATCTCTTATATTTTGTCCCAAATTTAGCACACAAACTTTTCCAGAGCTTTAAGTCTCCTCTTTTCTCCTTCTGATGTGCATGTTTGGCACAATGCATTCTTGAAAGGTCCATATATATGGTTGCATCACACATAGATATTTGTCAATCATTAAGGAAAAAAACCTCTTGACACAGTGGTAGATATAATCCTACTGATAGTTCTTTTCCTGTGTCAAGAGCTTTGACAAAGTGGAGGGATAGAAAAATAGGAACAGACAGATCAATCTTTTCTACCCTCATTCCATACTTAGTGGCAGTTTCTTTCTTTAAAAATCTATATAAGAGATTTCTTAGAACGTTTGAAAACTTATGTCTTTGTATGTATTCTTTATTATTTTGTTGTGACAGTTGTGTCACAAAATAGGAGGAAATGTAAAATTGTCTGCATATATCAAAGGGACTCTGTTCAGATGTACTTGTGAATCCAAATCTTCTTCTTGATTAAAAAAAAATATTGATATTTGAAGTTTCATCCATTCCTTTCCTTTCTTTTATTTTATTTTAAGAAATTCAAATCTTCAGTCAAAACAAAAAACTCATATTTATATATCTATATCTATATTTCCCTATGCCTACCCCTATCCCTATATCCATCCATCCATCATCCATCCATCCATCCATCCACCTACCTACCTACCTACCTACCTACCTACCTACCTACCTACCTACCTACCTACCTACCTATCTATCATCTCTATCTAATCTATCTATCATCTATCTGTCATCTCAAAGCAATATAATCATATACAGGAGAAACAGTAAGATAAAAAGGTATGTACCCCTCAAAGGGCTGTAATTTTTAAATTTAAAAAAAGGAATGTAAATTGTTTCTAAATTATTCTCATGTCAAGCAGTTCATGAAATAGTATACTTCCTCATTCTGTAGCCAATTGGGCTTCTGACTGTATTTGATTTTAGAAAGTTTCCTTTCTCAAAAAGGCATTTAGCTAAGTGTATGAGTTTGACAGACTATTGCACTGGATGCATCTAGATATATTCACAAACATATATTATTTTGTAGTATGGATTTAACATTTATGAGCCAGATTTCTGGCAAAGACACTTGGGCACAGTAAGCTTCAGGAGATTCATACAATGTGTTTTTGTTGACATCATCCTAACACCTTGACTTAAAAAAAAGTCTACTTTATGGAGTTAAACGATATCAAGGTTGAAAGGCAGCCCTGGATGTGAAAAATAGCTGGTTGGTTGCCAGGGGTTAGAGCCTAATTTTGTTTCTGCTTATTCCATGAGGCAGTGTTGCTCTCATAAATCAACAGATACATGCAAATACTCACTTGCCTAGTTTTACACAGCCAGATAACCGAAACCCTATATATTGAGTAACCCAGAACTTTCGCAAAAAAAGATTTCACCATTTGCAAATGCAGAGGTGCATTTGCAAAAAATGCACTGTATAATGCATTTCTATCTAAGAATATTTCTGTATGGTGCATATCAATCGCGTGTCTCAAACGATATGGCTTTTCAGTTCGCACACTTTAATTCAATCAAGTAGCTAGGAGCCTTCCTGAAGTTTCTTTTCATTTACCAGAATTAAACTATTGATCTTCTTGCTGTGTTCCATCCTGAGGCTAGCCTCGGAGATATTAAATCTTTTCTGCCCTTTTGTTTTGCAACATGTAAATGACTTTGAAATCAGTCACTTCTTTTTTTTTGCTCGAGTACCTGGTATATTGGTTGATTTGAGTTTTTAAGACCACTCTGAACTTGGTTTGGCTTGGCTTCCAAGACTAGGTTTTGGATTCTTTTTTGCTGAAATGCTAGCCCATATTTCAGTACAGAATTCTATCGTTTCTTGAAATACATTATGGCCTTATTTGAGGATATGTTGCATTATGTAGCCAACCCCAGCCCACACAAAAATAATGCCCTCTGCTTTTGTTTTTCTTTTGTTATCAAAGACTAACAGAGTTCTCCTACACCAGTAGCATCTTGAGAGAGTGCCACAAAATCTTTCAACAATCTAACCATGGCTCTTCAGTTTTCAGCATTCTTTTAATTAGCTTTCTTGCTTCCTTGCTTTTTACCTTGCCCTACCTACCATTTTTTTCCTTTGTCATTTTCTTGAATATGGAAACTACATACTGTAGTTGTAAGGGATCTCCCTAACTCCCTGAAAAATGCCTTGCTAACCTTTCTTTCAGGACATATTCTCATGACATAGCCTTTGTCTCATCCTCAGCTTATACCTAAGGTTCCCTCCCCTCATATTTGGCTGATCCAATCTCAAAATGGCATTTTACATCTTCTCAGTCTTGCTGTCTTCATAATTTCTGATATATTTTGCAACAAATGTAGTGATAATTCAGCCGGGTGCCTACCTCCCAACCTTTTTCCTCTAGTCAGTAGGCACTGCTCTCCATAACCATCTTGATTTGTGTCCTTAGATTGGTATGATATATAGTGACTATAAGCAGACAATCACATGGACTGATGCTTTCAGGAACATTCATAGAGATTTTGCTATCAATCTTCATACCCCAAAGAAGGCACCTGGGTCCAGGGTGTTAGGTTTAGCTGGTGCTCTGCTTCTCCTGCTTCTTTCCATGGCTCTCCAGCATACCACCAGCCTATCAACCTGGGCAGGGAGCTGGGTGTGGTGTGTGTCAGAGGTGGGTTTCAGCAGATTCTGACCAGTTCTGGAGAACTGGTAGCGGAAATTTTGAGTAGTTCGGAGAACCAATACTAAAAATTCTGACTGGCCCCACCCCCATCTATTCTCTGCCTCCTAAGTCTCAGCTGATCGGGAGGAAATGGGGATTTTGCAGTAACCTTCCCTTGGATTGGGGAGGGAATGGAGATTTTACAGTATCCTTCCCCTGCCATGCCCACCAAACTGGTAGTAAAAAAATTTGAAACCCACCACTGGGGGAGGGAGGATGTGTCTACAACATTCCTGGAATAATGCTATAGATATTTTCACAACTAGTCCAAGTGTACGTTCATCATTGCAACATATCTGTGTGCCAGCAGGCTGCCACTGGATCAACTTGAAAATTTTCCCAAAGTATTTATTTTAGTTTCAGTATAATCATTAACATATCAGCATGGCTATAATAGGTTCTGGTGGAAAAGGAGCACCTAGTCATAGATTCCCAGATACAAAGTTACCTTTTACCCTAAGGTTACAAAATCCACTCTTTTTTTTTCTTCCTATCATTGTTTTTTCTAACGATCCAAACCACAAGTCAATCATTTTTCTTTTCTGTTTCATCCCAAAAATCTACAGGATACCTTTTTCAGATGCATTACCGAGCAGAATATAGACCACCCGTCAAGAAAGAAAAAGGAGGTTGATAAACAGTTGTGCAGAAGTAGAGGTAAGCTCATCAAAGTGACTGCTACATCTAAGTAAGCAATGTATTGTATATACTTTTTACAGGCAAGGCAAGGTTCTTGGAGCAAGTTGGATTCTAGCCCTGCTAGCGAGTTGAATGATGGATATATATATTTTTAATGCTCTTTCTCTTTCTACAATAACAGGAAAACTCTGACTAATTTTCCATGCTCAAGATCGGAGCTAATGGGGCTGTGATATTCACCTCCTGTGACAAAGGCAAAGGTATGTCTCCTATTAATAGACTAATAGAAATTTAATGTACTTAAGTTTTAGCTCCCTTCCTTCTCTGCGCCCCCCGCCTCCCAGTACACTTTCCTGGCTCTGACTTTACTATCATAGGCTGAGGAAGGAAGGAAGGAAGGAAGGAAGGAAGGAAGGAAGGAAGGAAGGAAGGAAGGAAGGAAACGAAACCTGCCTGTCTTCAGCAAACCAAGACATATATCAATATTTCATCAGGCCTTTGTTGAGCCCCGGTTTTAGCTTTTCTTAATGGTGCACTTTACCAGGCAGCTTTTTCATACATCATTAAACAGCAGCTATAGTACTTGTGTGCCCTGTTTCTGATTTACCGTAGATAGTAATGTTTAAGATCACATTAACAGCACACAGGCTCTCTGCTCTTTGGCACTGCATCCAAATAATGAACAGTCAATAGTATTTCCAAATTAGCCTGTTCTCCAGCTCCCATTATTGAATGAAATAACTATTCTTAGGTTCGTGGGGGGGGGGAATCATCAGGGTAAGGCAATTAATTCAATGTCTAAACTAAATAGACAGACCTGACCTGTCCATACTAGAATTTCTAAAATAGAATATGAGGATGATATTTTTAAAAAGGAGAGGTTTCCCTGGCTGGCATCCAGTTCTGCAGACAGAAGGGCAAGCCAAGCATAGAAATTCTGGTTGCATATTCCTGTCCCTCGAGGACTACTTGATTGTTTTAGTGTACTCTTGACAGTGCAATGGAAGCAAAATATTATTAAAAAGCCAATAAATTAATGTGTCTTTCCAGGAAAACCAACACCACTATTTGGGGGGGGGGGGTGTAATATTTACTGTTTAGTGAATTTTCACATGGTATGTTATTTAAATAAATAAAAAAAACCCTGAACTTCCTTGCAGGAGGGTTCAGCTTTCTTCATTGAGAAACTTAATTATTGAGTTGCCTAGAAATAGCAGATTATTTTGGTTTACATTTTGCTGTCCTGTTTGTCAATCCCGATCCTGCCTCTGTTGCTTCTTTTCCCTGTCACAGCCTGTCACCTGACTTCCTCTAAAAGCAACAAATCCTGACTGGTTTCGTGGACCTTGAGTGTCTATGGGTGAGGAATTTCATCAAACATATTCAGTCCACTCAAAATGGTTACAATATTTTCTTTCCCTAAGTCAATTTTTGCAGAACACATGTACAATATGCAGCTGACAAGAAAATCAAAAATAACAGCAGGAAGATGCTGGGAAGATCAGGAGACAAACTGATAGGAAGATAATCAGAAGTTCAATGTGGACGGGCTAACAGGAATATCAACAGCACCAATGGGTTGAAACTAGGAGTTCTCAATTGAATTTTGTCTAGGTTAGATGCTGCTGCCCATCCTTTTCAAGTTCAAATTTATCTGGGCATGTCTACATTTGCACAAAAGATACTTTGCTTGGGAAAGCTGAAGAATATGATACTAGGCCATGCAACTTTCCTTGGCTTCTCTCATTTGTTAAAATTGAAAATTTGTATTTGGGTGGTAGTATGAAATGAAATTCTTGAAATCTCAGTTCAGTAGATTGCATTAGGAAGATGGGGGGGAGGGGGAACCATCTTGAAAGAATTCTGACTACATTCTAGCCAAGAAAACTATATGACCATATCCATGTAATTACCAGGGAATAACTTTAATTTAAAGGAGGTGTTTTTCATTAATAATCAATCCAGAGAAAAATACATGGAATGTTGAGGGCTGCTCTTTAAAAGTGGACGGTCCAGAACCCATTGAGGGAATTAAGGGGGGGGGTGTTAAGGAGTAAGGTCAGACATTAATGTACAATTTTGACCGTTTAACCACACCTTTAATTTTTCAAAATGCATGTTAAATAATGCATGCAAAACAACTAGAATTTTAGTTCCGCCCAGAAACCAAATAGATGGGATCTATTTGGTTTCTGATAGCTTGATTTCCATATAGTCCTATTCCCAATTCTTTTTTCTGAATACAAGGAAGAGAGGGAGCTTGTGCACCTAATCTCTTCTACCTCCATCACCATCCTCCTGCTCGCTCTGAATTGCAGTAAATACCACCATGAAAAGAAAACTTAGGGTTCTACTTATCCATTAGTGATTTAGAAACCTAACATTTTACAAGAATCTATATCAGTCTAATTGAGAAGCAATGTGCAATCTTCCAGAGGATGAGCATAAATGACCCTAACTATTCACACTGAATATATACTATACTGCTCAAAAAAATAAAGGGAACACAAGCAGAAGACATCTGAAATCTGAATGAATGAAATAGCCTTATTAAATACTTTGTTCTTTACATACAGTAGTTTATACACTGCTCAAACAACTAAAGGGAACAGAAAACTACTGTATGCAACGAACAAAGTATTTAATAAGGCTATTTCATTCATTCAGATCTCAGATGTCTTCTGCTTGTGTTCCCTTTAATTTTTTGAGCAGTGTACTATTTCAACTGTTAACTCTAAGCATAGGATCAGCAAGAGTAGGATTATTTTCCAGAAGTTTTGATTGCAACTGTTATAATCCCTACAATTTCTCCAGAATGACTGCATTTAAAGTGTCTTAAGTTCATTAATGCAGATTCCTGGTAGTTTTTCATTTTTTACTCATGATTTATAGGATCACCTAAGGCAAAAAATCACAAATGCAGATAACTTTTATATCACAAGAAGGATAGCTGATACCAATTGTTAATGCAGAAATGATCATAGGTAGAATTTTTGGATAAAGGTGGGTTTACGGCACTACTTTGAATGGAGCATAAAGAAGAGCCACAGCCACTGAAGAGTTATTCAGTTTTGTAAGTTAGAGCCTCCATGGCTACTTCCCTCTCTGTTTTATTCCACCTGCTTCACCTTCTGCCTGCACTATTTTTCAGGATTATTTTACTTTTAGGTTCTTGCTTCACTTGGGAACACATTCTTCCTCAGAGTTCATTCTGTTTTCTGGTTGACTGGTTATTTTCAAATATCTATAAGCCTGGGAAAAAGTAAAGATTTGGTGGCTCTCTAAGTGGCTCAGTGGCTAAAACGCTGAGCTGTTGATCAGAAAGGTCAGCGGTTTGAATCCCTAGTATAGGTCTCCTGCATGAGCAGAGAATTGGACTAGATGACCTCCAAGGTCCCTTCCAACTTTGTTACTGTAACTTATTTTCAAAATTATCAGAGCGCTGCAGGAAAATGTTTGATATCCAAAGAAAAATAAGCTGTTTCACAGAAACAAAATACTGTAATGCAAAACTAAAAAAGTAATAGTCGGATGCAATTATGCCCTGGATATTTTATGTATTTTTCATCACTACATCAGTAGACATTTCTTTTTTTAAAAAAAAAATAATTTTTACTACAATTTTCCTTTACACAACTCTAGTACATAATCAACAGACTGTGTCATTTTTGTATATTTCAGATCAACATTCCATACAATATATACATTATATACATTCAATATCTAGTCCTCAATAGCCTTAAGTGTATTTCCAATTTTTATTTCTATTATCTATCCAAGTGTATCATTTTTCCCAAACTGCATAAAATTCCGATCATCTTTTTCTTTTAGTTCTAGGGCAGTGATGGCTAACCTTTTTGCCATCGCGTGCCAAAAGCTGGGGGACTGCTGGGGGGATCGCACATGTGCGTGCCCACACCCATAATTCTATGTGCCCCCCCCCACGTATGTGTGCGCAACCCCCCATGCTCCCCCTGCTTTTGGCATGTGATAGCACGGTGGGCATGGTAGGCCTGTTTTTTGCCCTCCCCAGGCTCCAGAGGCTTTCTAGGAGCCTGGGGAGAGCAAAAACAGCCTTCCCAACCTCCCTGGAGCCCTCCGGAGGCTGGAAAAAGGCCATTTATTGATTTCCGTTGGGCCCAGAAGGCCCCAAAATCAGCTAGCCAGCGCACGCATGCGTGCTGGAGCTGAGCTAGGGCAACGCTCGCGTGCCCACCAATAAGGCTCCATGTGCCACCTGTGGCACGCGTGCCATAGGTTCGCCATCATGGTTCTAGGGTAAGTTTATCCATTTCAGCGCATTCATATATCTTCTGAATGATCAATCCTTCTGGTGGTATATTGCGTTCCTTCCAATATTGCGCGAACACAATTCTTGCTGCTGTTAATATGTATAGAATCAAATATCTTATCTTTCTATCAATTTTTTTAAAAAATATTTCCAGGAGAAATGTTTCCGGGTTTAGTTCTATTTGATATTTTATTATCTCTTGTAGCCACCCTTGTATCTTAGTCCAGTACTTTTTCGTTTCAGGACATAGCCACCAAGCATGAAAGAAGGTACCTTGACATTGGTTAAATTTCCAACATTTTGGTCCTAAATTTGAGTACATTTTAACCAGCCTTGCTGGGGCTAGGTGCCAATGGTAAAGCATTTTGTATTGATTTTCCTTTGTTATAGTGTAATTTTTGTTCCAAATTCTTTCCCAGTAGACATGTCATACTTTGCTAGGCTAAATAGCAAAACTAAACCCATATTAACCCAATTGTACTATATATCTGGAAACTCCTGACTCTCAACCTTCATTTACTATCAGCATAGCAGAACCTTGGGAATAGTTCCAGGCAAAGGAATTTTCCTACCTATTTTTTCAGCCAATGCTCAATCAGTTTGATGAACAAGAATTTGTTTTAGAAATTCCTTGGAGGAGAAAAGGATTCTGGAGAAAATGGTATATGTGCTTAAGTTTATTAAAAGGTAGCCAAGGGGTCTACATGAATTCTTATATTAAACAAACATCACTCCAGTGTCTGAAGATTCCTGAGTTTTTCATCCTACAATTAAATTGGAAGGAAGACATCATGAAACAATTTTTTCCCCACTGGGTTTTCAGAAGCAACATTCCTATCACGCTAAGGTGGAATCCATTTAGAGACCATTGGAAAATATTCCTTCCTCTGGGGAAATTTCCCTTTAATTTCTCTTCCCACAAATGCCATGGAGTAATTCAAAAGTAATTGCTGTCCCATAGTAGTTGTTGGTATGAACATGCCCAAGGGTGGGCTTCAAAAATTTTCGCAAGAGGTTCTCTGTCTGGTTGCTGCATAGGCATGGCCATGGTAGGCGTGGCCTAGTCAGCCTTCTGTACCACAGTGGGGGGTGGGGGCATTTTTGCCCTCCCTGGGCTCCGGAGGCTTTCCTCAAGCCTCCAGGAGGCCAAAACAGGCCCATTTCCAGCCTTCCAAAACTTCCGGTAGACCCGCTTTTCACCCTCCCAGAGCTTCTGTGCATGCCCTGCACTTACTTCGCATCCAAAACGGGCCGCGTGGGGACTCCTGGGAGGGGTAGGGCGGGATGAGCAGGGTGGGGTGGGGCCAGCCAGGAGTGGGATTTGGGGGTTCTCTGAACTGCACAGAATCTTAGCTAGATTCCCGAACTCCTGCAAACCCACAGCAGCCCACCCCTGAACATGCCTAATGCAAATCAACATTAAGGAAAATTGAAATATGATTCTCAAAATTGGGTACCAGTGTTGATTTATAAGGAGGCGATGACATTAAGGCCTCAGGCTTTCTTAGTAGAGTTCTGCTCATAAGTGAAAAGGGGGCTTCATCTGGACAGTGTTCAGAATGAAACATCCCTTTAAAGCTGCTTTGTGAAGTAACCTGGCTCCACTCTTATCAAGAGAGAAATGATGCTGCAGTGTTGTTTCTTTTCATGTCATTTTGATGATCTCTGACAGCAGTTCTAGCAGAGGCCTGTTCTAACCACTTGATGTGTTAGAGAAAGCAATGGGAACAACATGAAGTATTTCAGTGATGTAAGTTGTGACATCTCCATGCCTTGACAAGGTGGAAAGTGTCACCTGCGTGGCATGAATGCTTCATCGAGGAAATTGCTATTGTTTGCCACAGGGCTACTTTGTAACCTTTCTTCAGTGTGTCAGTCAGTATTTCAGCTCTTGCTATGTATCTCAAAACTTAAGACCAAGTTGGAAAAACTCCTAATTTTCAAGCAGTGTACATAATAACCAATGCAACCATAAGCTTTCCAACATATGGAAATAAGAAAAGAGACAGGGAAGAAAAGCTGTTAATTATGGCAAGTGACTAAATTTGGATCCTTCTACAAATAAAAGATAATAAACTGAATCCAAACGATTTATTATTGCTCTTAGGTGTGAAAGCTTGGGAGTGTGTGAGGGAATTTCTCACTGGACACAGGATCTCTTACATTTGTTTTCCTTTTCTTCACTTTGATGGACAGTAAATATTTGCACTTCAGGATCCACTAGTTAACAGTTAAAATCCAAGAATAGTTAAATTCTACTAATGTTACTTAAAGTGGATCAGGAAGTATAAGAGGAATTAAAATGCCATGACTGGAACCATCTACAGCATTCTCTCTAATTGGGACATGCTTCATCAGGTAATCAACTTAATCAGGACCTTTCCCAAGGAACCCAATTAAAAGTTTAATGACACCGTGTGGCACGGGCTGCTGCTTAATTGGGATGATAATTCTGTTCTTTATAATTGGGATACTAGAAGGTGATTAAAGGAACCAGAACAGAATGTCCTTTGTGATTCTTACAAGCTGAGAGTAATTTGCTTTTAAAAAAAAAAAAAAAAAAGAGTTTCTGTCATAGATGTTTCTAGCAATCTTTCCAGATTCTGAGAGTTGAGATGGCAATAATAATAATTCATTCCAAAATGACAATATTATTGCACAAAGCTGGTAGAACTCAACTTTCCCAATCAAAGTGCATTGTTCATCCAAATCAGTTCTTGAGATGTTCATTCAGAAAGAAAGATACACAGGGGAACATTAGGAAGGCATGCTAAAACAACCCCCATTTTAAAAAAGCAAGCTTATCCTCTTGCTTTATATGTGGGAAAGAGCCACATTTTGCACATGTTTATATATGTATTGATAAAGTGCAAACATGCATTGACTGCCTGTCACAGGAAAGGAACCTGCAAGTATGTAACTGTTGATGATAGATAGATAGATAGATAGATAGATAGATAGATAGATAGATAGATAGATACTGTAGGTAGGTAGGTAGGTAGGCAGGCAGGCAGGCAGGCAGGCAGATAGATAGAATTATTTATTGGCCAAGTGTGATTGGACACACAAGGAATTTGTCTTGGTGCGTATGCTCTTAGTGTACATAAAAAAGAAAAGATACATTTGTCAAGAATCATAAGGTACAACACTTAATGATAGTCATAGGGTACGAATAAGCAATCAAATCATACTAGGAAACAATCAGTATA